GGTCTTACTTCACACCTCCGCAGGCTCTATGCGTGCCATTTCAGGTGGGCTTTGGGTGCAGGATGCGCAGCTTCTGGCACAAAATCGTTTTGCTCATGTGTAGAACAGTTATTGTGCGTAGAACAAAACAAGAGTACGAGATAGCGTTTCTAGACATGCCTCATCACTTTGAATCCTCTTTTGTCTTAGAGCTGGGGAAAGAAGAAGAAAAAGTGTTTGATCCAAATGCTTTGGATGCTGATCGCTGCGAGAGCTGTTACGGGGCAGAGTCAGAGGACATTCGGTAACCTTTACACCTTTTCGTATCTTCTTAGCACTTGAATTAATACAGCTATGTGGCATGCACCTTTTTTTTCAAAATGTCTGCGAAGGTCTGTGCAATGAAATCCTCCTGGGCACGTGTTCAGAGAACGATGAGAACTGTTGTGGTTTTGGTATGCCTTTGGAAGCTGCACTCATGATTGTTAAGAACGTGCAGAGTTAGGTTGTCTAGTTTGTCTAGACGCCTGTTGAAGGGCAGTGCAAATTGCACTACCTTTGCAGTAGCACAAAGATTGTATCTCCGCAAACGGAATCTTTTTGGGGGTTATTTGGTGTCCAGAGGGGAGCTGTGTAAATTATTTCATCGTTACGTGAGCTGTCTTGGAATAAAAGCTGGTTATGGCTTTGCCTTCTCACTTCTGCTGCAGGCTTTGCATCCTTACGGGAGCAAAGACCAGACATTTATCGCTCACACAAGCAACAGGTGTCATGTGGTGTTTCTCATTTGTCCTACCTGCAAATGCCTGTAAGAATGGATCCGTGATAGTCCATAGGTTCTGGACTATCCTTCGCTATTATTGTCTCTGTAGTAACTTGGTTTGTCCCATCTGTCAAGTTGCGTCCTTCCCCAGAGATGTTTCCGTCTCGAGGCATTCATGATTCCAGCCTTCAACTTGTTCTTTGGTCCAGCAAAACCTGGAACCAAGAAAGAAAATGTTTTTTTCTGGTGACCAAGATGTTATCCAGAGGTAGAAAAGTAATGAAGAAAGTTTGCCGTTCACCCTCCCTCCAATGTTGACAGTCTTGCCCTAAAAACAGAGGAAAGGAGGAGGAATAGAAACAGGCAGATGCTTTGTTCACACGGGGAAGTTCCAAACCGCTCAGAACTGTGGGACACTGATGTCGTTTTTGTAGCAAGTTTCTTTGCCAAGGAGTGCCTTGGCTGTCTAAATGGACAGGCAAAGCCCTCTTCAGACTCAAGCACTGCATTAAAACAGCTTGCATCCTCATGCCAAAATCTCAAAAAGCACATCAAGAAGCTCGAGCTCCTTCAGGAGCATTAGGCCACCTGTCAAGGTTCGCTTTGCTTGATGTTTGCTTTATTGCTTTGTTGAAGAAGAATCCACGAAGGATTCAAGTCCCGAGCTGGAGCATCTCTTTCTAGCGATAAAGATGGTAAGGTGGTGCTTGTGCTTTTGCAGGTGTTGTAATACTTGTGACGATGTTGGAGAAGCATACAGGCGGCGAGGCTGGGCCTTCCAAGAATCCGGATACCATAGAGCAGTGCAAGAGGGAAGGGTTTAGCCAGCAAATGCAAGAGCAGAAGAACGAGGGCTGCCAAGTGTATGGTTTCCTAGAGGTCAGCAAGGTGAGAGATGGGTTTTGCTGTGAACCAGCTGCATGATGGTGATGACTGTGAAAATCCCTCCTTTTCCAGCTTTAGGTGTTCACAGGACTGTAATATAATAACCCCTGAGCTCAGCAAGGTACTTGTGCCCGTAAAGGAGTTCAGTAGGAGAGTCAGGAGAAGCGGTGGGAAGGGGCTAATTCTCTGTTTCGTTGTGTGGGCTGGTAGGAAGGATGCCGGCTGGAGAAGCTTAGCTTTTCCTACCGTCTAGCTAGCGAGTCTTTTTGCTGAGATTTCTGGAGGAGGAGGGGCAGCTTCTCTGAGGTTAGATTGTCCCACCTGCCCTTCTAGTCTTAAAACAGAGACCGCCAGTGGATGCTGGAGATGCTGGAGATAACGGTAACCAACAACTTGCCAGCAGAGGTGCTGGAGAGAGTGAGATGTTACCTTCTTTAGAAAAACAGTGGAAGCAAGACTGTTGGAGTTGGTTGTCAAAGCTGAAAATGCTCAGAGAGGTGGTTTTTGCAACTGGTGTATGAAAATGTAGTACGAGATATACCCGATAACTATGTAACTACCCTGTCATTTGGCGAGTTACCAAACCCAGAACACTTGGACATGCAGGTTACGTACCCAAGTACATTCTAGAAGTCAGTCCCAGGCTAATTTTTTTT